GTTAGAGTACATGCTATGAAAAATTCTTCCAAACAATATTTTTTCACATAAAAAAAATTGAGGCAGAAATGTAGAGAAATCAAGACCAGGGACTCGTAATTTTGATTCATGACTTCATGTGGTAGCCAGGATAATGTTCCTCCAACTTCCAAAGACGTGACGACACAATTTAACATCACTAGCTTTGACAGTGGAGGAAGAGGTTATGGAGCCAAGATATGGAAGTGGCTTCTAGTAGATAAAATAGAGCAAGGAAATGAATGTTTCCCTAGGGCTTCAGAAGAGTACCAGCCCCATTAACCTCTCTTTCTTAGCCTAGAGAGATCCATGTTGGACTCCCACCTCTTAAATAATAAGATCTTTAAGTGTTATTTTAAGCTGCTAAGTTGGCAGACATTTTTTACACCAAACATGAGAAACTCATACACTTCAAAATAAAGATGTTGCTCTCTTGGCAATCACTGAGCTGTTATTGTAAGTTTCTTTGTGGAATGTAAAGGCACTATAAGGTACTTAATCTATAATTAATTGTTGGATAGATAAAACATAAATACATTAAAAATAATAATCAAGCAAGACATTCTGGTGCGTGAATTACTCAGGACAGTGTTTGCAATGGAACATGTCATGCTGGGTGGAGTAGCATCAGTAATTCCCAATGTAAAGAGGTTGAAGAACAGCCTGTGAAGTTTGATTTGAATAGAACTTAAAACAAATTGGACTTCTGGGTGTCAAAACAGAGGATTGCCCATGTTTTTTTTCTCTAATTGTTCCAGACACACCGCTGGGGAAAAAAATGACTATGCACACTGAAGAGGATCCAGATGCTGTTGCATGCATTCAGTGAAGAGGTCTGGTCTAGTCACCTCCTAGGACAATAAGGGCAGGTGGAACCATGGCCACTCAGATATGTCACAGTTACGCGTCATGAAGCCTTCTTTCTTACTCTGAACTTGTTCCCCCGGTTCCAACTCTGGTGTTCCTGCACCTCAGAGACTCAAAATCCTTTCCTTGGATCTTCCAAATTATTCTTCATTTAGTTCAATCTTTTCTTTGGAAGTCGGTATCTTAGTCCATTTCATGTTGCTATAAAATAATACCTAATGCTAGGTAATGTATAAGAAAAGGAGGTTTATTTGACTCATGGTCCTGTGGACTACACAAGAAGCATGATACCAGCATCTGATTCTGGTGAGGACCTCAGGAAGCTTCCACTTATGGTGAAAGGTGGAGGGGGAAGTGGCATCACATCACCTGGCAAGAGAGGAGGAAAGAGAGGGGAAAAGGTGCCAGTAGCTCATTTTCTTTTTTCTTTCTTTCTTTCTTTCTTTTTCTTGTTTTTTCTTTCTTTCCTTTCTTTCTTTTTTTCTTCCTTCCTTCCTTTCTCTGTCACTCTCTTTCTTTCTTTCTTTCTTTCTCTCTATCTTTGTTTTCTTTCTTCTCCTTCTCCTTCTCCTTCTCCTTCTCCTTCTTTCTCCTTCTCCTTCTCCTTCTCCTTCTCCTTCTCCTTCTCCTTCTCCTCCTTCTCCTTCTCCTTCTCCTTCTCCTTCTTTCT